GTTCTATGATCATATATCTTCATATCTAAGAAACTGAGTCCTGCTGAATGCAATTATGAGATCTATGATAAAAAACTTCTTACAATTATACACTATTTAGAAGAATGAGACTCTGAACTCTGAAGTATCTCTGAATTTGAGATAGTCACAGATTATAAGAATCTCAAATACTTCATAACTATCTGTAAACTTACTTAATGATAGATATAATGATCTGAGTTCTTAAGCTGCTTTCATTTTATAATACACTATTATTCTAGCAGTCAGAACTTGATGACAGATGCTCTCTTATAATAAGAGCAGAATATGTTATCTGATGTAACAGATACTCACTGAATGAACTGAGAGCACTGACTCTTGAATTCAAAGATACTAGTTAATCAAGATAAAACAGCTCACAGCACTATATATACTTCTTTAACTAGAACTGTTACTGATATCTCAAATTCTTCTGAATCTATATTAGATGAGCTATAATATACAGCAGTTTAAACTGATGAACTTCTTCAAGCACTCACTGAAGTAGTATAACAAGAAGCATTCTGATTTCTCTCAGAATTATATGTAAGAGCTGACATCTCAGAATGTTCAATTGATGATAATAACACTCTATAATTTTATAAATGATGCTGAGTCTCTCACTCTGAACTCTTATACACCTGAATAATGCAAGAGATGCATGATTTATATATAACTGATTATTCAGATCATGAATAACTGTATAAAATGATCTTCTGAGAGTTCTATTGACCTGAGATATTTAACAGTATCAGATACTTCATCTGAAACTGCAATCACTGTTCTTTCATTATCTTATAAAAGAACTGTAGAAAAGGTCTACTGAAATCACTTAATATTTCTGATAAAATCTAGTAAGATGTAGTAATTAACTTCACTGTTAATCTATCTGAGAGTAAGAATTATAGAAACATTCTGATCATTGTGCATCAATTGAGTAAAGATATAATATTAAAATCTTGTGATAAGATAAATACTGAACAAGTCACTGAAGCTTTTCTATAGAGTCTGTTCTATCAGATATATGAATTACTGAGATTCATAGTATTGAATCAGAGCTGTCAGTTCATAAGTACTCTCTGAACTAGAATCTGTCAAGTTCTCAAGATTATATACTGTCTGTTAACTATCTATCACTCTAAGACTGATAATACATCAGAATAGATAATTCAGACTGTAAAGAATTATCTTTATAAGTTCTGTAATTACTTATAAGATGATTGACATGATCTTCTTCTATACACAGAGATTGCTATCAACAGTTGAAATGCTGTTTCAACAGATATAAGCTCATTCTTTCTTATATATGAATATTATATGAAAGTGTTGAATCTTCTAGAGACTACATAGTTCATACTGAATCTTCACAGTCTGATTCAGATTACTGATAATATAATAATAAAGCTTCAAGATACTTGTAATTGAGCAGAGACCTTTATAATAACTGTAAAACAAGATCAAGAGAACTGAATCAATGTTTACTAAGACTCTGCAGAATAATATAAGATAGAAGATCTGATATAATTAAATCTTAAGAATATATAAATCACATATTCATCTTATACACTAGATTACTGCTATATTAGGTATAAAATGATAGAAGTTCTAGATAGTTATAACTATTATCTTAACACATTATCAGAAATTCATGATGTATTTTATACAAGCTTGCTCTGCTGTTCTGTTATTAATCTGTTGTCTTCTCAGCTGATTTCTGACTGACAGTTACCAGGTATCATAGAAGAAGATAATGAGCTTGAGTGAGAGATTGAGAATATTCTCAATAAGAGATCTCACAGTCACAGCTGATAATATCTTATGAAATGAGTTAACTATAATCAACTGATCTGAACTCTGAGTTTCATATTATCTGAAACAGTGATTCTTGACTGATAAGAACTGCTTCTGAAAAGAAAGAACTAATGTGACAGACTGTGCCTGATCAATTATATAGACTATTCTGTTACATCTCACAGATTTCAATCACTTCATTCTTGAATACATACACTTCAATTCTCAGTCATTCTCAATTACTGATTCTCAGCTGCTATGAATGTGTATATATTCTTCTACTCTGAAGCTTCATCATGTACATCATCATATACATGTATAAATATTTATCTTGATTGCTGATTCTTGTACTTTCTCTTTCTTTTCTTCTCTAATGTTTTTATCTTTGTTAAATAAGATCTATCAATATAATATCAATCTATTCAGTGTAGGCCTCTTACAAAGATTGATGATAAAGATCTGAGTTCTGTAGTATATTGTAATTCAGACTAAGTAAGAGCAGATTCTTAATATAAATTAACTACTGATTATATTATATTAATTAATAAGTCACTGATCTCATGATAATCACAGAGACAGATATCTATTACTAAATTAATTGCAGAAGCTGAGTATATTATAGCTAGTAAAATAGCTTATAAGATAGTCTGATTGAATAATATGTTATATAACACTGAGTTAATGAATAATGAAAAAGTAAAAATATACTCATATCTATAAGTTAATAATAAGAGAGCAATCAATCTAGCAAAGAAAGAATTCTTAATATAAAGATTATATTATATTAAGATTAGATATTATATTCTCTATAATTTGATTAAAAAAGAGAAAATCATGATGAAACATGTTAACTCTACAGTGAATATAGCTGACAGACTTATCAAGTCACTGATGAAGCCTGCATTTGAAGATTTTATTAAAAGAATTGATTTGAAAAAGATCAGAAAGAAATGATTGAATGATAATAATAATACAGTAAATCAGTGAATTTTGCATGTATTTCTTGATTTTTACAGTTATTACTGTATGAATGCCTTTCCTAATGAGGAAATCAGGGTCTGATTCATGTAATTAATTATTATTGCATTTTTGAAAGATTTGAGGATGGGGGAGGCCCCGGGTGGCGGCTTATTACAGGCCACGGCGTAGCAAGGGGGGGTGTTGGTGATTACTACACCTACCCTAGTCACGTGCCACCCCAACCTATTTAGTGTAACTCGCGTAGATAGATTACACACACACAACACAACAACGTTATCCTCCAAGATGTTTCACTAGCTTACAAAGCTGTTTCCGAACCCGAAATGCCAAGATACGCTATTCTATGTGTATCGTACGCTGCGTTTGCATCGTAGTGCGTAATTGTAGGTGGATGAAACTCTTCCACAAACGAGGCGGTCAAGTTTCCACCTGCACAATGTTTACTTACTGTCTTCGAGAACAACGCTTCAGCCACGGTTCAATCAAGTGGAAGTTACATACTATTAGAAGGACATTAAAGGACACACCTTGGAGGAACGAGTAATTTAGCCAAAACTCGTCACACCCGACAAATTAGACCAGAAGACACAGCCGTTTGGTCTCAGTAGGTGGTGAGTAAATGATCGTTGCAGCGTGATCTTAATAGATGACTTGAGAAAATTAACATTGACTGATCCCACTGTGGACTAGAGCTCTTCAAAGGAAGCGAGGATTTGTTGTTTCCTGTAGGGAAGCAACTCACACTCAGAATCTCTTTCGACTACAGAGTACATTTGAAAACAGTTACACCACCGCAACTATATCCAGGAAACGGGACAGAAATGGCTTGACATCAGTAACTCACGGGATGCTTAAATGACCAAGAAGCTCAGGTCAGTGCTGACAACGTTTCAGAGCAACCTTTAGTTTGGGAGAAGGTGTATAGATTGATGAGATGCGCCGGAACCCCAGAAATCTTGGGCAGTGGTACTGGCAGGATGCTTTGAGGAAGAATCTCTACTGGCTCGAGACAGATCATCTGAAGAGTCTTGTTGAGTCTATTCAGGAAGGACATGATGATGTCCCCAAGGGGATCCGCTAGCAGCTATACAAGGAAGAATAGGTGAAGCTCGAAAACGACAATCAAAGGGCTCTATCCTACCATCTTACTACCTTATGTTCAAAGCCAGCTATGTCGTGCACGGCGAACTGGTTTCCAGCATATTACACTTCAGCTTGCCATTCTGCGTCTTACCCTAATCACAGTGACATACTGCGTAGATAACGCAGCCTGGATTATCAACAACTTCCGACCTGATATCGCTTTTTTCCAAGCTGGCAGTAAGCTGAACTCATCCCCCAATCGCGGCATGGGAGACTCGAACAGGTGTCATGAAAATGAGTCTATCTCTCTATCATCTTTGTTCTCCTCCGGAGCTCGTTCGTCATTTTTATGGTCTTCGTGGTAACCGCGAGGTTTACGCCAGTCTTCCTCGAACCACCTATCGTCCACCTCTTCATCAAAATTCTCAAAGGCCGCCTCGTTTGAAAACTTTGATAAAAACTAGATAACTGTGCCAAGCACATCTCACTATCTCTCATTAGTGCGTGCATCACACTGTAACAGAATTCACACTGTAATAAAATTATTTTAAATATCTCAGTCTTTAAAAATCAATTAATAACTATCACTATATTGATCTATAATATAGAGATTATATATATTCATATTACAAGCAGCAGATTCTAATGTAGATTAAAATATATTAAAACTATTATACTCTTTTTGTCGGATTTCCTCTACGGGCCGACCGCTTCCGCCTGAGCGAGGTGAGGTGTTCGCCGATCGCTTACTCGATAGATTCCTGCCGAAGCTCCGATTCTCGGTCGCCGATCCTCGGCCGAAAACCCACGGAATTCCTATTCTTCCGCCCCGAAGCTCAACCGCATACGCGTAATAAGACCTATAAATATTATACCGATCTATTCGGCGTAGGCCCCTTACACTTGAAAAATGTTCATTGTCTCCTTATTAGGAATGATTACCCACCGAGATATCCGAACGCGTAAAGACGCGTAAGAAATAGAGAAACAACCAGTTAAGCGGACACTGAGTCCCTAGATAGAAGCTTGCTCGCCAGTTGTCCTGGCCCCGCAACAAGATCTTACAAAGAGAACAAGATCTTACGAAGAGAATGTCAGCGAAAGACCCGAGAGTCCTGACACAGATGTATGAGATATTCATACGATTACACATCTGACGAACGATATAACCATGTCTAACGATAATATGGGAGAACCCTCGAACGCGAGCATAGACGCAGTGCCACAGTGGCTCCGAGCAATGTTGGAATTACAACAACAACAAATAGCTGATAAGCATACAACTCCGGACATTGGATGAGCGTCTTACCAAGCTCAAGAGTATACAGAACAGTGGCAGGAGACGTTACACCCCAGCCACTCATACACCTGCGCCGAAGAATAACAACAATGATGCAGATGCCATGGACTGGGTAGACTCGAATGTCTATGCGCAAGCAAGGGTCTCCGCCGTCCGAACAGGCTTCTGAGTTCCTGGGATCACTTCTGAAGAAGTCGCCAACCAATGTCAACATGGGGTGTGCATCAACTGTAACAGACCAGGACACATCACTTTCAACTGCTGATCAGCCTACATGCCTCCTCACTCAAGAGAAAGATCAGTGTCTTCTCACTCAAAAGATGAATCAGCGCCTGTCTGCATCAATCACATTACATTAGAGAAAGATTCAGAAGATAACTATGAGAATGTCTTGATAAAACAGGGAAAAGATTAGCTTCTGTTCAAATTCATAAGCAGGAGCTTGAAGAGATTGAATAACAATGATTTGAAGAGAAAATAACAATGAATGCAATTCTTGTATCTACTGTGATAGATAACATGTATAATATAAAAGTTATGATAGACAGCAGTCTATGTTATTATACAATAATTAAATCTTCAGTTATAAAATGTTATAATCTTCAGTGTATTTTCTTATTAAAATCTTAACTTCTTACAGAATTTAATAATTTAAAGAACATTCACATCTGTTATATAATAAAACTAAACATAGATATCAGAATATTAATGTAAGAATAAGTACTTACAGATAATTATTCAGATGTTTACAGCTTGATATAATATGTACTGTTAACTACTAGAAGTATTTACAGTAGAAAGATAAAATGTAGAGATTAAATATAATATAGTATTTAAGCTAAGTTATGAATAGTATTTGCAAACTTCAGTCTATATAGTTATGTATAGTCAAGAGCTACTAACTCTATTAATTACATAAGAGATAGAAATAGAGATAAAGAATCTATAAGAAGTGAGATTTCTTATATATTTCTTTCTCTCTAAGACTTTGTCTGTGAAGTCTTTTACTGAGTGATTTTATAAAATCAGACTTAGCAGTATAGTGATACTTATTAAAAACTCTTTACATCTATAAAAAAAATCTTAGTGAGGAAAAATTCCTTATTATTATAAAGAAAAAAGAGTCTATTACTTAGTTTTTTATTCTATAAAATTCTTTATAATCTGCAGATCTTTCTCTGACTATTATATAGAGTCATCTCATATCTTTTATATAGAAGAATTTCAGTTAACTCTCAATTATTTTTACAAGATTCTTATATAATTATTATATAGATTTATTCTGCAGATAAATTACTTTCTATAAGATTATTCTTATTAAAGAGAAGTATTTCTAAGTTAATTATTCACTTATTCTTATAAATTATCATTCTTTAATACTGTAGAATTGTGAGGAATTTTTCATTCTTTTATTAACTCTGTAGAATTATAGAATTAGAATATTTACAGTCTGTAATTACTTTTAATAGTTATATAGAAAGATTCAGATCTGTAATTTATAATTACTCTTTATTTACTAGAGTAATCTGACTATTTTATAAGATTACTTATAGTGTAAATAAACCTCTCTAAAGTAGTATAAATATCTCAGATCTGTTTATGAAATCTTATCTTCTTTATTCTTTTTCTATAACAGCTTTCATTCTTATAAACTGTGAGTATTCTCATTCATTTATAAAGTGTTTCTACTCAGATAATAGAGAGAGAGTGTTTTTAATAATATCTGTATATTAATTCAAGAACTTCTTAAGAATCAAAAATTTTTTCAATTTTAATATTTTTATGAATAATATCTAATCACTGTTAAGCTTCTTATAAGTATTCTTATAACTTCTCTGATCACTTTTTACTGATTAATAAAGCAGAGATATTATCACTTATAATAATATCTTTACTCTTTTCAGCTCTGTCACTGCATCTGATCTTTCAAAATCTAATTGAAAAAAGGCTTATAAACTGATTTATTGATTCAAATGAAACCTCAGAATCAGGTCATGAGATCATTCAATTTGATATTAAACTGAGTGAAAAACAAAGAAGTGAAAATCCTCTTCTCTTTAATCAGTATAACTTTGAAAAAGCTGATTGAAAAGCAGTTGAAGAAAGAGTAAAACAGCTGAAATCTGAAAAGCAGAGTAAGCTCTATTAAAATCAAAGTCAAGATATCTCAAATGAAATGCTTGAGAATAGAGTAAAGCTGATTACATCTATTCTTCTAACAAGTATTACAGAAAATATTTCAAAGAAAAAGTCTTCTGAGTATTTCAAATCTTGATGAAATGAGAATATCACTTCTAAAAGAAAAGCACTAGTCCCTGCTAAGAGAGATTGAAAAGAATAACTTAATATCTGATGAAGAGGTTTAAAACCTGTCCAAAATGAATATTTTTCAGATATTAAAAAGAGTCAATAACAGATTCTGGAACAATTTTCTTAAAGAAGTATAAGAAAAAGAAGTTTTTAAAGCCTTCAACTATACTAAAACAAGAAGTATAGCAAAGCTTTCAACCTTAGAATATGAATTTCAGAATGAATTGTATACAGCAAACTCTTTTCAAGAAAAAGTATCAAGCTTTTATAAGAGTTCTCTTTCAAAACTCATTACATTTAGAAGAAGAGAATATGTCATTTCATGAATATATTGATGAAAATACCTGGAAATGATCTGAGCTTACATGTAATGAACTAGAGTCAGCAATATTCTCAAGTTTAATTAAAACTGCTACAGGGCCTGATTCAATTAATTACTTAATTATTCAAAACATATATTTCTACTTGAAGAATAAATATTTTGAGCTCTTTTTCAATCTCTTAAAAAATGATTATCATTCTGAATATTGAAGAGAAGCTACTGAAGTAATTCTTATAAAACCTAATATAAAAGCTTCAATTTCTAAGTTATATAAAGTAATATCTCTGTTGAACTGTTTGAGAAAAATTCTAGAAAAGATAATAGCTACTAGATTATCTTTTATAAGCTCTATTAGTAATTGTCTTCTATTTAATGAATAAATGAGAGATAGAAAACAATGTTCTGCAATTAACACTGTTCTTTCAGTTATTTATGATATTCAAGTAGTAAAGTATAAAGGCCTGATCTCAACTGTAGTTTTTATTGATATAAAAGATGCATTTAATCATGTTTCAAAGTCTAAGATGATTCAAACTTTGAAGATATTAAAACTGTCACTTTCTCTAATAAAATGAGTTAATTATTTTATATCTAAAGGAATTATATAACTATTCTTTAATGAAAGAAAACAAGATAAAACTGAGATAAAAATAAAAGTATCATAAGAATCTTCAATCTCATCTGTTTTATTTGTAATATACACTGCATATCTATTCAAGAATAGAGAGATGAAAATAGTAAGATCTTCAAGTTATATAGATGATATTGATCTACTCTACAGTTCAAAGACAATTAAAAAGAACTTAGAAGTAATTGAGAAAGTAGTAAAGAAAATCTTTGTTAGAGTAGATATTAATCTAATTCAATTCAATATGAATAAAACTGAGTTAATTCACTTTTTTCTCAGGTTTAATGACAAAGAACTAAGTCTAACTCTTTTGAATAAAGAGATTAAACTCAGTTTAAATGTCAAATGACTAGAAGTATGGTTAAACTTCAAGTTGAATATTAAATATTATATTGAACAAAGAATTATCAAGACAGAGAGACTACTGAATAGTATAATCAGACTATTAAATACTAAGATAGATCTACTCTTTCAGGCTATGAGACAGTTATACATGGCCTGTATTATCTCAGTAGCTGATTATGAAGTTCAAGTTTAATGAAATAATCAAGGTAATTTCACTGAACTCTTTCAAAGTCTATAAAACAGAGGTTTGAGAAAAATTCTGAGAGCATTTAAATCATCTTCTATTAAAACAATGAAAATTGAAGCTTCAATTTCATCTTCTACTATTCAATATGAAAAAGCCTGTATAAACTATACTCTGAGAGTCATGAAGATGAGCTTAAATTATATAATCAGAGAAAGAGTCTCTTCTTCATTTTCATCAGTTAACTCAGGAAATAAGCTGAATTAAAATAGATTTCTTGATTGAAATGAGAATAATGCTTTAAAGAAAATGCTCTCTCAACTGTATAGACTATGTTCACTTATTAAAAATCAATTTTCTTCATTAAATATTGAGAAAATTGATTATGAGAAGATATCTCTCTAGAGAGAAAAGCTGAAATCTCTTATAGACTTATAAATAAGTGAACTATCTAAAGAGAGAAAATATGAACAGCATTTGAAGAAGATCTCTATAATCAATATAAAAGACTCTATTCTGATTTACTTAGATGACTTAAAAAATGAGAATTTGAATAGATTAGACACAGGCATTGCTTATACTGAAGATAATATCAATTTTATCTCAGATTCCTGAAATTTAGACTGTGAATCTGAAGTCTTTGATGCTGAACTATTTGTAATAGTGAAAGCTTTTAAACATATTGAAATAACATCTCATAAAAGAGAAAATAGTTTCAAAGAGATATGAATATTCTCTGATAGTTGAGCTGCTTTAAAAAGACTGAGAAATAGTCAGATTCATAATAATCAAATGAATCTTGAATTGATTTTAAATTCTGTTTTGAAAATTCAAAAGAGAAGAATATTAAAACTGATAATTCATCTGCACTGAGTTCCTGCTTATATGAATATTCATGGCAATGAATTGGCTGATTCAGCTGCAAAAGAGAGTTCAGAATTAAGCAGATCTATTCAAAAAACAGTGTTCTGGTCTTTTATAAAGAGAAAGATAAAAGAATCTTGTTTAAATAAGTGAAATGAAAGCTGGTAGAAACAAAAGAAGAGCATACATTATTCAAGATTGAGATAAAATCAAAGTGAAAATCTTATTCAATTAAATGTAAAAGAACATATTCTCATCTATAATTCAGCTGAAACTAGAACATGATTATTTTAAATCCTATATACAAAGATTTGATGATAGATTTGATTCAACAGAGTGCTCATTTTGCAATATAAATGAAAATCCTGAGTATATTGTAATACATTGTGCATTATACAATAGTCTCAGAGTCAGATTGAAGAAGAAGTATGATTTAAATCAATTAAATATGAGGTTCTTATTCTCAACTGAGACAGGAATTAAATACTTAATAGACTTTCTATCAGAAACTTAAGC